TATCCTCCTCACCATCTTCATCGTCCATATGGCCCATCAACCACTCGTTGCTTTCATCTATTTCCTTCAAAAGAATAGGATCTGTGGTGTCCTTTCTTTGATATCTCCGTCGCAAAGCACAATTAAACTTGGCATACACCATGCCATTTAAACGACTTTGTGCCAATCTATTTCTCCTTTTTGAATGAAGTTGTTGAAAAACGCTCCAGTTCCTCTCGCAACCCGTAGCACTACAAGTTAGGCTAAGAATTCGGATTGTAAATTTCTGTAACTCCGATGCTGAGACTCCATATACAAACCACCAATCCGCTATTAACATATAAAATAAATCAAGATTTAATTTTGTAAGGTATGATATATATATAATATACTGTTGTGTAAATTAAATCAAGATTTAATTTTACACAACATCAATGATTGTTTAATCCGTAATATAAATAAATTAATCTCAATTTCCAAAATAAAAATAAGACTCATGAATATTATTTTAGTGTAAATTATATTATATAGTTTTTATACTATAAGAAATAACCTCGTAAGCCATCATTTAATTTTTTTAACAAGATAAAAATTGTTAATTTATTAAAAATAAAAAAAATTAAATTATAATAAAAATTTTAATCACAACCGTTTAAAATATAAAAAAATTATAATTACAATCGTAAATTAAAACACATGACAATTAATACTTTTTTATAATTATTAACCCTTAACATCACACACAGATTATATAAGAAAAACATTAAAAAATTAATTAAATAGACTCGAATAAAATATACGAACAGGTTAGGTGTGAATTATCATCTTTGAAACAGAGTTACCCAGATAAATCATTACCACTTTTTTTTACTTTTGCTTTTAGTATTCTCGCTCTCTCCCATCACAATCCCGGTAGGAGGCACTAGGGGTTCGGTCTCTGGTCTCTTGAAAGTGAAACCAACAGTTCCTTGTGCGTGGGTTCCCCTTCTTTGCTTTTAAAGTATCAGCAACACTACGAATCTAAAAAATGGAGTCTCCCCAATCTCAACAACAACAACAACCAAAGAAGAGAGGTAGAAAACCCAAGCCAAAGGACGAGAAAGAACAGCAACAGCAAAGCGCTGCTAAAATGAAAGAAGAAAAGAAATAGGTCATTGTACGTAAATCGTCAAAAGCATCGCCTCGTCGCCTCTTCGCCTCTCGCCGCCTCTGACAACTGAATCGCCGCCTCATGTACTCGCCGCCGCCTTAGTGGTTGGAGGCTTTCTTCTAAACGCCTCGCCTAGCGCCTCAGGCACGCTTTTTAAAACACAGCACCAAACTGGCTGCTACTGACCTTCTATGATTTGAATTATTCCTGGGTTTAAAATCAGACAAAAAAATTCAGCACATAGGACACTGTTAGAAGATCCAAAAATTCTTAAAACTTGAACATCTTTAGAAACCAACAAATATTTTGTTCCGCTTTTTTACTTGGCAAAGAAGATTTATCTTACCAGTTTATATTATTGAGGTGTAAGGGCCCTGGAACACCACAAACTTCCCTCTCCGAGGCCATCACAGTATTCACAATTCTTGTTGTTTCTCCTTGATATTTAGAAATGCCCAGCTGTATGCACAAGTCAAACCAGCAAAAACATTCAGTTAGTGCAGAAATATTTTTGAGGTAGGTACATATATATTAATAATACAAATTTTTCGTATAGAATAAACTCAAATAAAATTTTAGAGTGAACACCATCAATAAAATAGACAATGATATAAACAAATTCGCATTTCAAGGTAGACACCACTTACATCCACCACTGCATTAAATTGTCAAAATTTCTCATCTTCAATACAATATAAAATCTACATATGTGGCCAATAAGAACATGCAACGAGCCAGCGGATGTAATCATGGGAATAAATAGCAACATTTTCCAAAAGCCTGGAATATAGATTCCCATCCCAAGTCTATTTAAGAGTACACTAATTAATCATCTAAACTTTGCCTTTTGAAAATTTAAGCCACACAACAATACAAGGAAGAAGGTTGGTCCCAAACCATCTTGTGAGCACCTAAATTAGCTTCAAGAACAATTTAGCACAATCTAGGCTATCATAAAAAAAAAAAAGTAAATTTTTACTGAAACAATTCGTGCAAGGCCTGACACGGGGGGCGCAATAACATTCAGAGAAGTGAATTTCAATTGTCTCTTAAAGTTTGTAAGGTTGGTGAGATGGTTGTAGGGTTAAGCAAAATTTGATTTGATTTATAAAAACTAAATTTTTTTATTTGATTCAACGCTAAAAAATTTTGATTCGATTTGACTTAAAATTTTATAAGCTCAATTCAAAAGAATTTCAAATAAAGTTTGAGTTGTAAAATATGTATAAAATAACTTAAATAACTCAAATTTTTTAGTAATTAGTAGATTGATTTTTAAGTTTAAGTCTTTCAATTCTTGATGATATATGTGTATATCACATATGAAACAACACGAAGAAATATATATGTATATCGTATATAGTTATAAAAGGTCGTTTAAATTGAAATCAGTTAGTACCATTATAATATAAATATCTACAATTAAATTTAAACAGAAACTCAAATAACTCTTACCCAAATTTTATAAATTCGACCCAATTAAAAAAATAAAATCTAAATAATATTTGACTTATAAAATAGTATTTATAAACTCAGCCCTAGATAATTTTTTTCCACTCAATCAAATACTCACCCTAGATAATTCTGATTGCAGCCAAATAAGAAATTATTAAAACAAACCCAGAAGAGAAAAGAGTATCCAAGATTCAGAAAACTATATAATAATTTTATCTCAATGTCCAAAATTAAGTCACAGAACAGGACATTTTATTCATAAAAAAATCGATGCAGAGCCAGCAACATCCCTACAGCCGACGGGACATGATAGTACGGAATAGATTTATAGAACCCAAAAATGAATCATCAAATCAGCTGAATGAAGAATCAATAAATTAATTCTTGAACAACAGAAATGGCCGATAACACCATAAATCAAAGTGTTTTTTTTTCCTTTGAAATTTTCCATCTCCATACTTAAAACAACTCCAATACGATCCAAAAACAAACAGCCTAAAAAGGATTACGTAGATAAAGATGAACACACAGAGATGAATAGCTAAAACAATCAAATATGGAAATGCTATTCTGCAGGAAAGAGTGCTACTTGGGATGGGGAAATGAGAGGTAAGAGCAGATCTGGGAGATTTGTGAAGATTGGTTTCTTTATGAACTGAAGCAGTTAGTTGGCGACACATCAACGTTAAAATGACTCTTTCATCCAACGCAAAGCTAAAATGATGTGCCCACCCCTCCGATTCCTTTAGAAGAGAACAAGAAAGCAATTTCACTACGTTATTGAATAGGCCTCGTTTGAACCATGGGCTTTGATATTTTACACTAATTAAATGACATTTATGATAAAAAATTATTTTTTTAAAAAAAAATTGAGTTTGAATTCTATGAACGACATGATAATATAATATTTCAATATCTTAAACCAACTTTTTAGTATTTTATTTTAATTATTTTAATTTTTAATAGATTTAAGATTTCTAAATTTCTCATCTTTTAATAAAATATTAATTAAATCTCTATTTTTTACACCCACTTAAATCTACGATATTAATTAAATCTCTATTTTTTACCCTCACTTAAGTCTACACACAAATTTTCATCAATTACTTTAATCAAAGTTGATCGTTACATCAAATAAATTTTTAAATTTGTTTATATTTAAACTTATTGTTTTTTTATTAGTCTAAGATAATTAGAAGGTAACATTTGTTCTAATTTTCTTTAGCTAGCTGCCAATGAATGACGTAACTCCCAAACTCAGCCTAGACGTTACGTACGAATTTTCAGAGATCACACGTTTTAAATTAATAGGAATCATTTGCATTTCTAAATTTATTGTTAAATACCAAAGTCCCAAAACAAATTCAATTTATAACTTGTAGCATTAGTAAATTTTTATAACCTAAAAGTAAAGTTCGAGTTCCCATAAAACAATGCATACTAAAAATGAATTCTGAATCCATCAAAATAACATAATGTCTCAAAAACGCCCAAACAGTAAAATCTGATAGAAAATTATATAAAAATTTTAAAGTCTGGAAATGTTCATACAAAATTTAACCAAATAAACTACCGATCGATCCTCCAAGAATCAATCGTAATCCTAAAAGCCAAAGTATCTAGATAGACAGATAATAAAAGAATGAGCTATAAAGCTCGGTATGTTCTTTAAGAGCAACAAGTATTGATAAGAAAATAAAATAATTTAGACATGTCATAAAAATGCAAATTAAAACTCAGGCAGTAGAAAACCAGTTAATTATTATTGGAATATTATTGTGACAAAAAGTTATTTTAAAGCGAAGCACGACAGAAATACACTATTTATAAAATCCGAAACTCCTCCTAAAATGATATCGTCGACGACGATGGATAAACTGAGAGCACCAAATGAACGAGAATGATGTGCTGGAACGATTGGTGCCGACGACGAGGCACAAGACGGCACGAACGGCGATGAAATGAGTAAAAATCAAAATAAACAATGGAGGGGGTATGAAAAGGGTACGAACGGCGATTACACAGCAAAAAAAAAAAAAGGAAGGAAAAAGTGGGATTTCCAAACCCTAAAAGAAATTGGGTTAATTATGTCTTTTTAGACCCTAAACTCTCAAAAGTTTTAAAATTCTTACCAAACTTACACGAATTTTTTAGTCCAAAATTTGGAGTGTTACAAATGACACATCTCTTACGAACACACTTCAACCCGAGACCTCTAGAATAAACAAACATTCTCTTTTAGGTCGCTCAATGGTTTACCTATATATCAACCGGAAACAAATATATCAAAATAGATGCACCATGATAAATAAATACCTTGAGTGTAACAATTGTAGAAAATTTATCAAAATATATCAATTTCAAGTTGGGGAGAAGGCCTACCTTTCGAAAATACAGGATGAGGCAAATTGTTTATTAGATTTATATATATATGTAGTAAACAGAGCAAATGATGATGCTCCCGCAATGAATGGTTGTAAAACTATACTCAACCACTAAACTACTGCCGTTCATGAAATGAAAATACAGCTAAAACAAGTCCAGTCGTCGTGACCACTCTTTATCTTTCCATATCATAAATGAAAGGATGGATGATGTTTGTCTGCCCAAATCAAAATCCAATTTTGCCACCCTACTTGGACCAAGCAACCGTGTCGATTTCGGCTTGTGCACTCCGGTACAACTCCAGCCTCTTCGCGAGAGCACTGCGACGCTCCCTCACTGCTGGATCCTCATTCAACAGTGCCGAAAGTCGTTTTTCCTATAGAAAAAAAAAATCCCCACAAGTCAATCACACTTATCTATCACACCCCCCCCCCCCGGAAGTTCATACGGAGATAGTAAGATAGCAAGTGTTATTACCTCCAGTTTACCCAATTCAGTGTAAAAGAAATCGAGCAGGCTTCTTTTAGCTTCACGGACTTGACAATAAACGATAGACTTCGGAATCGAGTGGCGCAAACTAGAGCAAACCATATTAACATAAGACAAAACTGTTGTTCCTGCTCATACTCGTCCAGGAAACCAATGATTAGTTAAATAATCGAGATATATCATTTTAGAAACTTTTTCTGCTTTGGAGTTCAGGAACCGACCTATTCTCCTCAGGTATGAGTCATTGTATCTGTCAAATATCGATTGTGTAGGGTTGCCACCTTTCTCGATATCTTGAGGAAGCTTTCGAAAGAACTCGACTGTAAGGTAACAAAATTCCATATCAACCAGTTGAAGTGTTGCTTTCTTGCTATGATCCCTCATTCTGTCAAGAGACTCGATTGCAGCATTTCCAACCTCGACTCTAAGACCAGGATACTGCTTTAACTCCTGCAAACCAAACCGAATTGATTCCTTTATACCACAACTGGCTTGGAGAATAATATAAAGTCGAGGGTAAAAGATGACAAAGAGGGCTTAACGGTAACAAAAAATAATCCTCCACAGAAAGCAAGATTTCTTTGCAAAGATGGGAATATACCGGAGTCTCATTGAGTGCCTTGTTAACCAGATCCTTCAGAATAGAATGAACCTGAAAAATGTGATAAATGAAAAGGAAAACCAGAACAATGTTTTGCATATGCCGAATATAACATACTATTCCACTTTCTAAAATTATATTTCTTACCGCATCAACAGCGGCCTCGGCTGGACCTCTTATAGTAACCAGAGTAGATTCAATCAAACGACGATATCCTTGTTCAGGTGCTATTAAATGTGGTTGATAACCATCAGCTTCAGTAACAATCTTCTTAATGTTCTCCATTGATAGTTGCCTGTCAAATTGCAACCTTTTCAAAGCAGCAGGAAGTTGGTTGTCAAAAACATTGTAAACCTTCTCCCCACCAGAACGCCTGTAAGCAAAAAAATCAAAGTCAACAAAAATAGCAAAAATGAGTGAAGCTGGTGACAGGGGACTTGAGGATTGTAAAAACACGTGATACGTACACTCCATCCAGATGTTCTCTGTAATTTTGATCAAAGAGACGGCATATCCCCATGATTGTGTACAACTTTCCCTGTATAAACATTGATGCCATCAGCAATTCTCAAAGAACCAATATCCGAGTATCAAAGGCAAGTAGAAATGGCTAAATATATCTAAAGTCACACAGACACAAAATATGAGCTACAAGAAGAGCACACTTACCCCTGCATCTGCAGCGATAGGCCTTCCAAGGCGACTCAACTCAGTTTCAAGTTCAGTAATCGTCTTATTAATAAGGGACTGAATGCCTGGAATTCTGGACTTGATTACAGTTTCCAAATGCTGAAACATTAACCAGTTTGACAAAGTTAATAACAACTACAGAGAAAGTAACACAGAACCAAGTACCGTTGTGTCCTTTACAAGAGAAAATCAAGGATAAAAATGTTTTAACATAAACAAACACAAACTTCCTATTAGCATACCTTTGAGAGCATCTTAGCGAGATGCTCAGATCCCATTCTGTTAGCAAGGTGCCTATACTCTGGTGTACTAGTAAAATACTCGCGCTCCCTATGCCGAGCAGCAATCATGTCAACATTCTTATTAATATCTAATTGTGAGCGATTCACAACACCAACCCAAGGAAATTTCAGCCGATAAGATTTTCCTTCCAATATCTAAATCCACAAAAAATATGACTCAGAACATGATAGGGCCAAAGGCATCTAATACTCGAGTTTAAAAGGTTTTAGCATGTGTAAATAAAGCACAAACCAACTTACATCAACAGCATCAGTGCCCTTATCCATCAGATCAATCTTTGTCAAGACACCAAGAGTCCTCTCCCCTGAAAGATTTATATCAATGCCGTGTATTAGAAAATCAGAAATGTACAACCACAATATGTTGAAAAGCTTGCATATAACAGCAAGTCTTATACACAAGTATAAATTGAAAACCAGCCCATGGTTCACATAATATTGTCATGAACTAGTAGAGAAGACGATCATTTTCTACTAAAGCAAGAAAATACCTGTAGGGTCCAACTCACGGGAGATTTTAATTGCATCTGATGTAGCAAGATCTTGATTAGCAGGTGAAATTGCTAAGATTATACAGTTGGGCTGCATAAAATGTTCACCAAGATCTCGATTAGCAGCTAGCAAGATCTGTTCAGCTCTCGTGCTTGCATAAAATAATATACACCACACTTAATTTTTTTTTTTGGGGGTGGGGTGGGGGGTGGGGGGAAGCAATACAGCAAGAACTATCCCAGTTGTACTAGATTTCAAAAGGATTCTTATTAAAATAAATTACTGAAGAAGGAACATAAAAGCCAAACGGCATTTTACCTTCTCAATGTAGGAGCGAACCATATTCTCGATATCTTGTACGACGCTTTCTGGTTGACCCTCTGCAATTGGCAAGATAATCCATCAATTTCCCATCGTATTAATCAAGATTATTGCAAATCTTATTGGGCTAAAATGCTTAACTGGTAGTCATTATACTTGAATAAAAATTAAAAAATGAAGATACTAAAATATTAGGTTTGGTGGAAATATATTGCAGTCTATCAATAACATTACACTAAAATTGAGATTATGCAATATAAGGATGGAAAATTTCTTTGAATTTTCACAAGGTTTTTCCGTTAACTTACCAACAGCTACCTTCGTAAGACCAGGAAGGTCAACCAGAGTCAAATTGACAACTGCACAAAATGAATAACAAATCTTCAATAAGTAAAGAAAAACTCTTGTACATACAAAACAATTAATGAAATGCAAGTGAAGAAGATAATACCTTTGGGAGAATATATACTAAGATGAATTGGAACACTGGAAATTTGTTTGGATCGCCCAGTTTCTCTATCCGTCTCATCTTGAATCTCCTTCCTAACAGCAGCTATAACGTATATAATAAAAAGTTAAAACCTAAGATTTATCTAATTTATTTTCTTTAAAAAAAAAGAATAACAAGAACTTTACCAAAATCGGTAAATCTTTTTCTTGGGAGGTGAAGAAACTCAGCGTATTCTCTGCTTCCTTCATCACTCTTATGAAGCTGTAACACCAGAGGCCTTCGAGTAACAATTCCTGCATTAATTTTTAATCCAAAAAATAAAAAAGGAAAGAAAAAAAATCATCTCTCGAGTTTTCTTAGCGACGAAGGATCGATTGAAAGAGCGGTATTTTTATTTATTTTCGTTACCGGATCCACGCGGTAAAAAATCCTTGCCGACGATGCTTTCCAGCACCGAAGATTTCCCCGAACTCTGTTAAAATTGAAATATCAGATCATCAGAAATAAAGAAAACAAAAGTTGGCTAAGAATTGAAAAGGGAACGAAAGATGGAGTATCGACCTGACCACCGACGACAGCGATCACAGGTAGAGAGTCCCAAAGAGTAGGCAAGGCGCTTGCCTCTCCATGGTCACCAAGAGCGGTGCAAGCTCTTTGAATCTTGTTCACGAGAGAAATCAAATTCTCCATTTCTTTGAGCAAAAAGTTCGATGCAGTAAACTATAACAGGCGTTGGATTCAAATCAGCTAGATCTCACCTGATGAAGCAAACAATCAGCACCCTAGGATCTGAGTGATATGAGAAACCGAAAGCAATGCCGTCTTTGAGAGGAAGAGCAGTTTCTTTTTGAAGTTTTGAAATGAAGAATAAAGATATGACTTTTAAATGAAGCGCGTGTCATTTATAAGGCTTAATATCTCTCTTGGTCTATGTACTTTATTCAAATTATCAGTTTGGTATATATATTATTATTTTTAGGCAAAACGGCACTAAAGTCCCCGAACTTTCAAAAAAATTAATATGACCCTTATCCTATTTTTTTTATCATTGTGATCCTCTAACTCTTAAAAAAAACCTAAATGTAGTCTTTTAACCAACATTTTTTTGTAGTTGACCAATAAAGCTATTACTTTCAATTGGCATGGCACGTCAATTTGTTTAGCTCACTTCGTTTAATGTTGATTGGACGATGAATATGTTTAAATAGGAAAATTCTACCGTACGACAATCTTAATGTATGGTTAAAGAAATGTGTTACCAGAAATGTTATTAATTTTTTAACATTTTCGATAAAAAATTTACTTAAAACATTAATGTTTTTTAACATTTCCGGTAAAATGCCCAATATTAATATTTCTGGTAGAAAAAATAATGTTTTAGGTAGCGTTTTATCGGATATGTTAACAAACCCAGTAAAACGCCCAATAATAATATTTCCGATAGAAATAATAAATTTTTAGGTAATTTTTTACCTTAAATGTTAAAAAAATAATAACATATTCGGTAACGTCTTTTCTTAATTGTATATTAAGCTGTCGCACGTGAGATTTCAACGTTTAAATAAGCTGAATGGGAAATAAAGCATTTAAAAAAACTAAAAAGAAAAAAAAAGATTTTAACCACGTTTCTATTTTTTATCCAGAATTCGTGAATTAAACCTATCTCAAAATCAATGGCAAGATCATTAGGAATGATAATCAAGAAATTAGGCTGCCACACGTAAGATTTCCCATTTAAATAAGCTGAATGGGAAATAAAGCATTTAAAAAAACTAAAAAGAAAAAAAAGATTTTAACCACGTTTCTATTTTTTATCCAGAATTCATAAATTAAACCCAACTCAAAATCAATGGCAAGATCATCAGGAAGGATCATCAAGAAATTAGGCTGCCGCACATAAGATTTCCCATTTAAATAAGCTAAATAGGAAATAAAGCATTTAAAAAAAAGATTTTAACCACGTTTCTATTTCTTACCCAGAATTCGTGAATTAAATCCATCTCAATATCAATGGTAAGATCATCGGGAAGGATCATAAAAAAATTAAGTTGACGCACGTAAGATTTTTCCATTTAAATAAGCTGAATGGAAATAAAACATTTAAAAGAAAAAAAAATTTAACCACGTTTCTATTTTTATCCAGAATTCGTGAATTAAACCTATCTCAAAATCAATGACAAGATCATCAAGAAATTAGGATGCCGCAAGTGAGATTTATCTGTTTAAATAAGCTAAATGAAAATAAAACATTTAAAAATAAGAAAAAAATTTTTAACCACGTTTCTATTTCTTACCCAGAATTCGTGAATTAAACCCATCTCAAAATCAATGGCAAGATCATGGATCATCAAGAATCCATTCATGAGTTTAACCCCGAGTCCAAGATCATTGATTCAGTTGTTCCCAGTTTCACCATTTACATCACTCTTCTCCTCCAAGAAAACAACCTCGTCCCTCTCAATCTTCGTCTTCTTTTTCGTTTTTTCCGTCACTTTCTTGAAAATCTCAATGTTAAGATTCTTCCCAGCTTTACAGGATCCAATCCAATGTTCAATCATATTTCCAAAAATATCCCCAATTTCACCCCTTTCTTTACCTTCTTCCCACTCTCAGATCATCGTGGCATATTTGCTCTCCGGGTTAAACTCCAACAACGAGGTTCTACCGAGAACTGGCGGCACTTCAATGGTGTCGTTACCGGTTCATCTGATTCCCGGTGATTTATCCGAACAAGAAGCCGAGTTCTAGAAACAACCGGACGAAAATGGCTACTGTCCTTGCTTAGATTCAATCATAGGGTACGTAAAAGATCTGTGAAGATTTCGATCGAGAAGAACAGGTTCTTGGTCGTCACCGCCGGTGGATTGAATCAACAAAGGAATCAAACCATTTAAACAAAGCTTATTTAAATGCTTGATTTCCGACTCAGCTTATTTAAACACATGCCCAATCAGCATCAAAAGGGTGAGCGGGGCAAATTGACATGCCACTTCAATCGAAAGTAGCGGTTATGTTATTCAACTACGGAAAGTGTTGGTCAAAACGTTGATAAAAATATCATATTGATTTTTTTAGAACTAGAGAGCCACATTAATCGAAAATATAAGATGAGGACTACATTCATTTTTTTTTAAGTTCGGGAACATTAGGTACCTTTTTGTCAATTTTTTATTAGTTTGATTATATGTTAAAAGATGACGCGATTCAATAACATGTTGTCACATGTAGTAAAAATAATAATTTAAAATCAAATAAAATCATAAAAATGAAGAAAAAGAACTCTTAAAATTTAAATTTTGTTAGAAAAAAATAACTTCTAAAATTTTATTTTAAAATAAATAATTTTTTTATTGTTTTAATTTTATTTGACTTTTTCTGTTGAAAATTGTATAAATGTCAAAAGACGTGGCTTAATCCTATCCAACTGTAAGGTAAGGTGAACTATAAAGAAAACAATGACGGGGAACTCCGGGCAGTTGGCTTAGGTGAAAACAACTTTGACCCTTGAATTATTTGTTCCGAAATTACATTCTATTTTAGTTTAATAAAATATAATATTTATTTAATTTAAGTGTTCAAATATATTTTTTTGGTGAAGACAAGTATTCAACATTTTCTCTATTATCATTTAAGGTATTTAGTCATTAATTATTGTTAAAAAAAATAACATTCCTTGAAAAGCAGAATCCTTATTTCATATGTTTTTAAATCTCAGTCATCAGAAATTTCATGTGAAAGCCTCAAATCTCATTCAACTCTCCTCAGACATTCCTTATTTCGACTCCTATTGAAAATCAGATTTAATTAATTCAAAATTTAAACATGCAAAACATTAAAAAGAATGACAATAGGGTTTTTTATTACACGTATCTGTAGTAAATGTTCATGTGACAGTTTACTCCTATTGAAGCACCTAAACTAAGTCTTCTTCCTTGTCTGTAATTTGTAACATCTTGATGTGGTATTAATCGCCTAATAAAATCCTCTCGACTATGATCGATGTCTTTAAAAGAATGGTTGTTTCACAACTCACACCTCGGGAGATCCATATCCATAAGGATTATTGCTGGCCCACTTCCACTCATCCCTGCACATTTCTTCAATCCCATATTTTGCCCTGCAACAATCACTCCACTTATAACATCCCTTCCCTCCTGAACTGCAATGTCCGTGCTTTTTCATATGTACGCCCTTACCACAATTCAATTCCCGCTCCGCCTTTCAGTTGAAGGATACACGATTTCGGCATCACCGGGCCAACGTACAGCCATTACAGTAGGTATTTTCTGATAAATAAATAAAAAGTGGAAATTTCAGTATTTTAGCTCAATGTAATTGTCCTAGGTACTCTGTGGGACACAACAATACCTTCCCGGATGCCTTTTCAAAGGCAGCAACCATTTCTAAAACTGATGTTCCTTTACTAGTTCCTAAGTTGAAGACCTCACAACCTATAATAGCAGTGCTAGTATTATTAAAACCAATTCGATATAAATAGTTGCAAATACAGCAAAAAGAACGATTAAGAACGAACCATTTCAATATATGAATCTGCTCTTCTACCATGAACCGAATAATGGTGGCATTTCAACAGACACAAACATACATTACATAGAAGAAAACAGAACAGAACAATGCAGGCACACCTATCTTTGGATCAGATAATTTGCGTAGTGCAGCGATGTGGCCATCTGCTAAATCGACAACGTGGATATAATCACGTACCTGAAAAGACTGAACAAGCCTTTTGACACAAGGGATCACGATCTTGAAATATAAACTTCCCACTAACATGATGTTTAAAAGAACATTGTCAAAGCTAATGCAAAGAATAATCCTAAACTCCTAAAGCATATTGCTTCGAAATGTTGAAAGGCACAAACTTCCGGAAAGGGAACCTGGGCTTCACGAGGTTGTCTACTTGTTTATAAGGAAGAAGGTTTTGCTTAATGAAAGATGTTGATGGAAGCCAAACAGAATTCAACCATACAACAGTTCCTACACACTGAAAAAAAAATTCTGAAACATGAGATCAGTTCGATTGGAAACCAACAGTCTCAAATGAAAGCTTACCCCAGTACCATCCTTTGTTGAATAATCACTTCCAAACACTGTCAAAGTTGGTCGCCTCCCAATGGCAACTTGTTTCACAAAGGCATGAGATTGTTTGGAATACCCCGGGGATCCTCACCTATATGGCCACTAGGATGTGCACCAACTGGATTAAAATATCTTAGAAGTATGATCTTCCATTCAGGATCAGAACGATGGACATCACGACAAATTTCTTCGATGAAAAGCTGAAAGCCAACCATGTCAGATACAAGCAGATGACACAATGAGAGAAAATATCAATTGACAAATTCCTAAGTACTCATAAGATATTCATAAGCAAAACTAGTAAAATTGTCATGACTATCCATGGCTCTCCTTTATACATGCTGCTTCTTAGAGATGCAAGAGAGTATACACTTATGAAAGGTTCACTACATACCTTTGTTCGTCCATATGGATTCACTGCAGCCAGGGGAGACTCTTCTGTACATGGATCCTCCTTTGGCCAGCCATAAACAGTAGCGGACGATGAAAATACAAGCTGAAATGTAATATATTAGAAGATTAATCAAGTTAACATGCAATCCTATTCATATGACTTTTAAAAATTTGCAAAGCAAATCTAGGTTCCATGGGCCAGCCTCGGCAATTAAACGGACATCTAA